CTGGGGGAAAAAATAAAAACAATTTTCAAAACTGCCTGACAAAAGAAGGTAGGGCATTCTCATCATGTTGGCTGCGACTTCTCACAGGTGCGAGCTGACATCTCCATCACGGCCCTGTTATTAATCCCAAGGATGAGCTCCGAAAAAGGTAGTAATTTACTCACAGGAGCATGTAGCCGGTTTCCTATCATTATCTTTTATTCCCTGATGAGAAGATGCTACCCTGTTTAAAGGCATTACTTTCTTTAGCCACACATGGAAAGATGAGGTCCTTCTATGGCTGCTATTTTAAAAATCCCAAATGTGTTCTTTCTTTCTCTCTCTCTCTCCACTCTCTCTCTTCTCTCTTGCTCTCTCTCTCCTCTTTCTCTCCTCTCTGTTTTTCCTCTCTCTCCTCTTTCTGTCTTGCCTCTCTCTCTCCTCTCTTGCTCTCTCTCTTCTCTCTCCTTTCTCTCCTCTCTTCCCCCTCTCTCTCTGTCTCTCTCTCTCTGTCTGTCTCCCTCTCTGTCTTTCTCTCTCCTCTGTCTCTCCTCTTGCTCTCTCTCTCCTCTCTCTTCTCTCTTTCCTCTCTCTCTCCTCTTTCTCTGTCTTGCCTCTCTCTCTCCTCTCTTGTTCTCTCTCTCTCTTGTCTCTCTCCTCTCTCTTCCCCCTCTCTCTCCTGTCTATCTCTCTGTCTCTCTCTCTCTCTGTGTCTCTGTCTCCGTCTTTCCCTTCCTCTGTCTCTCCTCTGTCTCTCTCTCTCTCTCTCTCTCTCTCTTTCTGTCTCTCCTCTGTGTGTGTGTCTCTCTCTTTCTGTCTCTCTGTCTCCCTGTCTCTCTCTCTTCTCTCTCCTCTCTCTCTGTCTCCCTCTGTCTTTCTCCCTCCTCTGTCTCTCTCTCTCTCTTCTCTCTCTCTCTGTCTCTCCTCTCTGTGTGTGTTGTCTATTTCTCCTCTCTCTCTCCTCTCTCTCTCTCTCTCAAAATAAAGGAAGCCTGCACAACTTGTGTTGTTTTTTGTTTTTTTTTTTGAAACCAGGAGACAGCATCGTTTCATAAGTGAACTCCTTCTTCAACCTCAGCTGCAAAAGTCAGATGTTTGCAAGGGAGATGTTGCAGCAGATTGGGGATAGGAAGTGTGACGCTTTTAAAAGTACAGGTAGAGGTTTGACTTATTCTCTAAGGCAGGGGTGTCAAATTCAAGTGCCGGGGGCTGGATTAGGCCCGCGGGTGTTTAGATCTGGCCCACGGGGCCACCCTAGAAACAGCAAAGGACTGGCCCACAGTCCTGCCAGTGAAAACAGAGCTCAGGAGAGCTGCATGTGGCCCTCCCAAACTCCCTTTTCACTGACAGAGGGTTGCAGGAAGCTGTCGCAGCCGAAAACGGAGCTCGGGAGCCCAAAAACGGGCTCCCGACAAAAGTGACATTGAGCTGGCCACGCCCACCTTGGCCACGCCCACCCCAGCCCCCGAGATCAAATACAACCCTGATGCAGCCCTCAATGAAATCGAGTTTGACACCCCTGCTCTAAGGCATCAGAGGGCAGGACAAGAAGTACAGGTAGTCCACAACTTACAACGGTTCATTTAGTGACCATTCAAAGTTATAAAGGAACTGAAAAAAAGCGATTTATGACTGCTTTTTGGCACTTATGAAAGTTGCCGCATCCTCATGACCAACAGTCAGATGCTTGGCAACAGGTTCACACACTTATGACCGTTGCTGTGTCCAAAGTCACGTGATCCTCTTTGACGACCTTCTGACAAGCAAAGTCAATGGGGAAGCCAGATTCACTTAACAATTGTTATTAAAAAATGATAATTACCTAACTTGTTGGGTTGGCAATATATAAATCCTCAATATAGCTTTAAGACTGTATTGCTGTATTGCATCATACTGTGTCCTGATTGGTTTGCTCTGTAGTCAAAGTCCTTAAGAGGAAGCTTGAAACATGGTTTGTTTCTCTTTGCTGATCATTATTGCTCTTTGCTGAGCGTTACTGCTCTTTACTGCTCTTTGCTGTGTTTGCTACTGTTTGCAACTGTTTATTGTGTATGACTACGACAACAGGTAAGAAGACTTTGTTATTGGATTATCCTTGGACTATTGTTTTACTATCTACTGCTTTATCTGTGTATGACCTGGACTGTTTATTGGACTGTGCCTTATTACTATTTCCTAAAAGTAAACACAACTCAGTGTATCTGTGTGTTGGCTGTGTTTATTCGCAACTGCTCTCAATCGTTTTCATGTGCACACCCTTGGGTTGCTCTGCGAATTCCTTAACAATTGTGTTAGCTAACTTAACAACTGCAGTGATTCACTTAACCACTGCGGCAAGAAAGGTCGTAAATCAGGGCAAAACTCCCCTTAACACATGTCTCCCTTAGTCACAGGGCTCGGTTGTGATCGTAAATTGTGGACTACCTAAAAGATAATAAAAAGATTTGAAAAGGAAAAAAGAAATAGAAATTGGAGATACAAGGGGCATAAAATATTGAAGGGGGGAGGGGTAAAGAAAGGGAATGGAAGAGAAAAAGAGAAAGTGAAACCAGGAATGGTGGGTCCAGGATAAGGGATTGTTGGCATCTTTAATATGCTGCAACATTTTCTTGCAGAATCCCACTTTGCTAGCAAAAAATGAGATATAATTTCATGACGGAGAAGGAAAACCTGAGTTCTAGTCTTATGATCCCCTTTTGCAACCTTCTTACAAGCGAAGTCAGTGGGGAAGCCAGATTCACTGAACCACCATGTTACTAACTGAACAACTGCAGTGGTTCATTTAACAACTGTGGCAAGAAAGGTCATAAAATGAGGCAAATCTCATTTAACAACTGTCTCGCCTAACAACAGAAACGTTGGGCTCAATTGTGATCGTCAGTCAAGGACCACCTATGGTCCTTTGGACATCAAGACAGAAGTCTCTGGAGATTCTTAGTCACCCAGGTCATGGTTGTCCCAAAGATGCTTTGGAGACGGGAAACTGACGAAGCAGCACAGCAGCCAAAAACAAGAGCACATTCCAGACATATCTCCCTCAAGGCTGTCTCCCAGGGTTACCCACAGTGGGCCTGAGGGGAGTGATCTCTACAACCTGTGAAATTGCTGTTGGCAAATGTGATTGATGACACACCCTGGGGGGGAGAGGGGAAACAGGGTCATGATTGGGGCCATAAATAACATGGGATTAGAGTTGGCTTCACCTGGAACATGAAGCACCTAATAAATAACTGGATTTTAATTAGGGCATCCATCGGAATCCTGACACTATGATCTTTTGATATGAATGCCCCAGCGGAAGAAATCTTGACACATACTACTTCAGCAACAAAGCTCTGATAGCTCAGCAGGATATATATGTCAGAGCAGGAATTTACTTAAACATTACTGGAGAAACAAGAAATTTCTAAGAGAGATGAGAAAGAAGAAAAGAAAATATTGGAAAGGACCCAGCTCCCACTGCAATTAATTAGCACAGTATGGCACCCCATCTTCGTTTAATCCCTGCAGCAAATGCCTCTTGTTTCTTTTGAGTCTGCAAAAGGTAAGAACATTTGCTAGGAAAGAGACAATAAGCATCTTTTCATGAGCCAAATGACAGATGTACGGAATGGTACACGGAGGCCCTTTTTTGTTTTAACAGCATGAGGTGTGATAATAGTTACAATACCAAATATTTACTAAAATGTCTGCCTTGTTTAAACTGGCACCTTTCTTTTAACAGTAGGAGGTGGAAGACGTTCATATCTTTCTCAAGTTTACACCCAGTTGCAAGATGTATGTTTTCAAGATCTCTTTTATCTGCCATAATAATGCTGTACCATTTAACACGGTGCTCTGTAGAGTTAACACTATTATTTGAAGGAGACAGTTTAATTCCTGAGGTGTATCTGCTGAGGGACAAGCATTTGGGATTAAAGCAAGTCCAGCAGAACTTGTTTACCTGTTGAATTGTGATTTTATGCCAATACATATGAAAGCATCTTACTTGTAAAGACATTAAGGCGTGGACAAGGGAGCATGAGAGAGGAGAGGACTTCCATCAGTGATCACGAATTGTGTATGTCTAGTTTAATGAAAAGAAGGAGTGATATGATACCCTGTTTCCCCGAAAATAAGACCCAACCAGAAAATAACCCCTAGCATGATTTTTCAGGATGCTCAGAATATAAATCCTACCCCAAAAATAAGCCCCAGTCAAGATCGTCAACCAGATGGAGCCATTTTGTATTGTATTTTCCCCAAAATAACCGGAAAATAAGCCATAATGCATCTTTTGGAGCAAAAATTAATACATGCCCAGTCTTATTTTGGGGGAAAACACGATAGCAGTCTAGCAATATCTAAGGGGTTCCACAAAGAAGAGGGAGTCAAGCTATTCTCCAAAGCACCTGAAGACCGCACGAGAAGCAATGGATGGAAACTAATCAAGGAGAGAATCAACTTGGAAATAAGGAGAAATTTCCTAACAGTGAGGACAATTAATCAGTGGAATGATTTGCCTGCAAAAGTTGTGGGTTTTTAAAAAGAGATTGGACAATTTATTTGAAATGTTAAGTTTTCCCGCTTGAGTAGGAGGTTGGACTACAAGACCCCCAAAGTCCCTTCCAACGCTGTTAATTCATTACTCTGTTATTAGTCAGCCATGGTGACACAGTGGTTAGAATGTAATTTTGCAGGCTAATTCTGTTGCCTGCCGACTGCCAGCAGTTCGGCTGTTCAAATCTGACCACCTCAAGGTTGACTCAGCCTTGCATCCTTCCGAGGTGGGTAAAATGAGTACCCAGATTGTTGGGGGCAATAGGCTGACTCTGTAAACCACTTAGAGGGGGCTGTAAAGCACTGTGAAGTGGTATATAAGTCAAAGAGCTATTGCTATTATACAACACAGGAACGTCTAAATGTGTCACTTTTGTGAAACAAATCTCACAAGCCCGAGATTAATTTGGGATTGTAAATCTGATATCATTGTTTGCGAACAGCAATTGAACCATGTTAGGAAAACAAATGCAAGGTCATACCTTGTGTGAGTAATGTTGGTCCACAACTCGGGCCAGTCCAAAGTCACCAATCTTCAACACCAGGTCATTTGTATTGATGAAAATGTTGGCTGGTTTTAAATCCCTATGTAAGACATTGGCGGAATGGATGTATTTCAGGCCCCTGAGCAGCTGGTACATGAAAAGTTTGGCGTGTTCTTCTGAAAGTGGTCCTTGCTCCAACAGACGGGCCAGATCCGTCTCCATGTATTCCTGGATGATGTACACCATGTTGAATTTGAACAGGTCTCCTTGGAGGTCCGCCCCTTTGGGCCCTAAGACGTCGTAGACCTTCACAATGTTGTCGTGATCCAATCGGCGGATTATCTTGATCTCCCGGAAAGCATGCTTCAAGCTCTGCGCATCGTTGATGGCGATCTTCTTCACGGCGACTTTGCAGCAGCTCTTGCTGTCGACTGCAGATAGAACCAGGCCATTCACACCAAAGCCCAACGGCCTGAAGTTGATGAATCGGCAACCCAGATCATAACCGTAGACGCTTGCAATGTAATCACACTTCTCTGCCATGGTGCAGGGTCTACTCCTGCTTTGCCCTGTAATAAAATGCCAGGAGGTGAAACAGTCTCCAGTTACCCAGGTGGTATGAACTAAAACAAATCTTCCATTCTTAACTATTACAATTTCCAATTTGTCATGCTAAAAGCCCATCAGATCAAAGAACCTTCGAGACCGACTTCTGCCATCAGTAGCCTCCCACCGGCCAGTCCGTTCCCACAGAGAGGGGCTCCTCAGCATACCATCGGCCAAGGTATGTCAGCTGGCGACACCCAGCGGGAGGGCCTTCTCTGTGGGAGCTCCTGCCCTGTGGAATGAACTGCCCCCGGAATTGAGCAAGATCTCCGACCTCCGTGTATTTCGCTGTGCCCTCAAGACCCTGCTGTTCCGCCATGCCGGGCTATCAATGTAAATGATTTTAAATTGGGTGTTTTAAATTTTTGGGTTTTAATTTGGGCCGAAATTATTTAATAATTTTAATTATTTTTTAATTGATGTCTGTATATTTTTGTGTTTTTAATAGGCTGTACACCACCCTGAGTCCTTCGGGAGAAGGGCGGTATAGAAATAAAATTATTATTATTATTATTATTATTATTATTATTATTATTATTATTATTATTATTATTATTTATTATTATTATTATTATTATTATTATTATTAAAGAAGCAGCCCCCAATCAAAGGAGAAGACATTCATTTCAAAAGTATCGATTTTTAGATTGCATCTCCAAGTGTTTTTCCCAACTTTTGAGCACCAATTATAGAGAAGATGAGAGAAGGCCGGCTCCGCTGGTATGGACATGTCCAGAGAGCAAACTTCCACCATTGCCAAGACTGCCTACCAACTAGAAGTCAATGGCCGGCGACCTCGCGGGCACCCAAAACAGAGATGGCAAGACACCATCAACAAAGATATGGTTTTGGTCACCACCTTTAGAGTGCTCCATGGCTTAGGACCTGGTTATTTACGGGACCGCCTACTACCACAAACAGCCTCCTACTGGCCGGTACGCTCTCATAGAGAGGGGCTCCTCTGGGTGCCGTCAGCCAAATAATGTCGACTGGCAGCCCCCAGGGGGAGGGCCTTCTCTGTGGGGGCACCCACTATCTGGAACGAGCTCCCCCCAGAGATACGGAGGATCCCGGATCTGCGCACTTTCCGCCGTGCTCTTAAGACCCTCCTATTCCAGCAAGCCGGCCTGGCCTAATTTTCTCCCCTGTTTTAAAATTCTTTAAATTTTAATCTGTTTTAAATTATTGGGATTTTTAATTGTTTCGGGCTAAATTATTTAATCTGGTTTTAATTATGTTTCTAATTTTTGTATCTATGTATTTTATTTTGTGCCTGTTCACCGAGTGCCTGAGTCCTTCGGGAGTAGGGCGGTATATAAATTTAATAAAAACAAAAACAAAAAGAAAGATATGCAACTGCGGGCACTCTGCAGACACAACTGACTGTGCAAAGCCACGTTCAATGATCTGAAAAGCGGACCCTGCACTTGTGGGAATACGCTAGGAAAAAGATAATCTCAAAGTGTTTATCTAAAGTAAACTTGCTAACTTAAAAGCATCAATTTATAGATGAGGGATTGGGTGGAAAAAAAACTAGTTTTAAATGACTCTCCTCATCTTTCAATTCCTGAAAATGCAACGTAATGAACTTTATATTCTAGAATATATTTAATATCCCACTGGTTTTGACAGATATTGACTTTCTGCTGCGTACTTTGGAAAGCAACATTTATACCTGAAACTTCTTTTTTTCATGGGCTCCGTCAGCAGTTTTCTTGAGCGAGACCAGAATGAAGGTTGATATTCATTCCTTAATACAAGATTCATTTCCAGTCCCATCCTCACAAGAAGATAAATTTTGTTCTCTGTCAATTGAATGCAGGACCACAGATCTCTATCCTAGGCTTTTCCCCATTTTTCTGAATTTTTTTCTTGATGATGGATTCCTAATTTACTTTTCATTATGTCTCTCTCTTCCTCGCTCGTGATCATTTTTCTTCCTGTAAGGGGAGGAAAAAAACCCCATAAAATTAACTTATTAATATAATTATTTTTTATTTAAATGCTATCTTCCTGAAATTCAACTTGCCTAAGGAAAACACAAATGAGATAGGCAAACGCTTTAGAGAAATTCAGGTCTTATCCCCGTGATAAACGTGTGATGTTAACATCATGTTGTAAATCTTCCAACTCCTTTGAAAGTTCATGAAATATCAATTTATATTAAAACATGTCCCTCTCGGTTGATCACACTGTTGAATAAGTAAGGGGGGGAAAAAAATCAAGCTCAGTGAACTGGTCATAACATTAAGCAGAATCAAGCAGCTTCCTTAGGCAGCTCATTTCGGATATCATGAAAAAGAAACAAGTTGTTAGGCCTTTTATTATATTACTTTTATTCTTGCAATTTTGGGAACAGATGCTTGGATTCTTGTTTTTTGTTTTGCCCCAAGTGCCAGAATAATTTGATTCACTTTCAGTAGCGATAACGAGAAGGTGTCCACTGGTCCAACCAGCAAAATGCCTCCAGGGCATATAAAATAAAGAGTCCAACCATCTGAGCCACGATGCCATTAAGGGCTTCAGCAAAGGTGAGATGCAGCCTTTTCTAGTCTCAGGTTGAAAACTTGTCCAATCTCATACAAGACTCTCAAAGCCATATACCCGTGATGGCGAACCTATGCCACAGGTGGCACGCGGAACCATATTGGTGGGCACATGAGCATTGCCCTAGCTCAGCTCCAGTGAGCATGCGCGCACTGGCCAGCTGATTTTCGGGCCTTCCGGGCCCACCGAAAGTCGGCAAACAGGCTGTTTCTGGCTTCCGGAGGGCCTCCGGGGGGGTGGGGAAGGCCATTTTCGCCCTCCCCAGGCTCCTAGAAAGCCTCTGGAGCCTGGGGAGGGCGAAAAACGGGCCTACTGAGCCCACCGTGCCATTGCGTGCCAAAAGCGTGGGGAGCGTGGGGGGGTCATGCGTGCATGCACAGGGGAACGGGGCACATTGAATTATGGATGTGGGCACACGTGTGCGCGTTCCCCCAACACTCCCCCTGCTTTTGGCACGCAATGGCAAAAAGGTTAGCCATCACTGCCCTATACGATTTCTGCCTTCTCATTAAGAATACAATCTCACACGGTTCATAATTTCCATTTCCTTTCCCCTAAATCAGGGGTGTCAAACTCAAGGCCTTGGGGGCCGGATCTGGCCCCCGGAGTGCATAGATCTGGCCCACAGGACTACCCTGGAAACAGTGAAGGACTGGCCCGCAGTGCCTCCGCTAGCAAAAACGGAGCTTGGGAGGGTTACGTGCGGCCCTCCCGAGCTCCGTTTTCGCTGGCAGAGGGTTGCAGGAGGCCATCGCAGCCGAAAACAGAGCTCGCGAGGCCCACGGGCGGTACTTCCAACCTCCATTTTCACTGGCAGAGGGTTACAGGAGGCCATCACAGCCAAAACAGAGCTCGGGAGCTTGTTTTCGCTGGAAGAGCGCTCGGGCCACAGGCGCCCCTGACACGACTGACATTGAGCTGGCCACACCACCTGGCCACGCCCCCTGCCTCCCCAAGGTCAAACACAACCCTGATGCGTCCCTCAAAGAAATCGAGTTTGACACCCCTGCAAATCCTAATATAGAAGTGATGCTGTGCCAAGCTATAAGAGTAGGCGGAGGGGAGCAAATTCCACTTTAATGCCTTAAAATTATAAAGAGCAGTTGCAACCTATACCCCACCCCAAAATAATTTTGCTGCTTACCTACAAAGGTTCCTTGCCTCATGTAATGTATGTATGAATGACCTGGGGAGAAAAGAGGAAAAATCACAGATTAGCTAAAGGTAGGATTAGCCTGCAACAGGAATATGGGCGGGGCCGGAAGAGACCCTCCCTAGTTTCCTGGTCTGTAAAGGTAAGGGTCGAGAGGTATACTCTCAGACTGCAAAATTCTGTTGATATAATCTTACAATAAAGTTACAGCTAGTAGCAATAGCAATAGTACTTAGACTTATATACCGCTTCACTATGCTTGACAGCCCTCTCTAAGCTGTTTACAGAGTCAGCCTATTGCCCCCAACAATCTGGGTCCATGATGGCGAACCTATGGCACGCGTGCCCAAAGTGGCACACGAAGCCATGTTGCCCGGCATGCGTGGCCTTGCCTGTTTCTCTTCTGGGTTTCTGATGCGCATACACACGATGATCAGCTGTTCTTTGTGCATGCGGCAGTGCCGAAAACCGGAGTGTGCATGTGCACCAGTCAGCTGATTGTCAGGTGTGCATGCGCACCAGAACCCGGAAGTTCAGCTTTTTCAGAGCGCAAATCCTTCGCACATGCAGCAGTGCTGAAAACCGGCCTGCATATGTGCACCGGCCAGCTGATCGTCGGGCACGCATGCATGCTAGGACCTGGAAGTTCAGCTTTTCCAGAGAGTGGCACCAACGAGCACGTGCACACGTATGCGATGTTTCCGCGTGACTTTTTCGGCACTCGGTGCAGAAAAGGTTCGCCATCACTGATCTGGGTCCTCATTTTACCCACCTCGGAAGGATGGAAGGCTGAGTCAACCTTGAGCCCTGTCAGGATCGAACTCTAGGCTGTGGGCTGAGTTTGCCTGCAATACTACATTCCAACCACTGCACCACCCCGGCTCTTCTTGATGTGCTTTTTGTCTGGACTACAAGATAGTCCTCGACTTACAACAGTTCATTTAGTGACTGCTCAGTTACAACGGCACTGAATAAAGTGGCTTGTGACCATTTTTCACAGTTATGACTTTTGCAGCATCCCCGTGATCATGGGATCCAAATTCAGACGTTCAGCAACTGGTTCATACTTCTGACCGTTGTGTCCCAAGTTCATGCGATCATCTTTTGTGACCTTCTGACAAGCAAAATCAATGAGGGGAAACCGGATTCACTAAACAACCAGTTTGCTAACTTATCAACTTGCAGTGATTCACTTAGCGACTGAGACAAGGAAGGTGGTAAAATGGGGCAAAGCTCACTTCGCAAATGTCTCACTTAACAACAGAAATCTTGGTCGTAAGTCAAGGACTGCCTGGACTTTGCGGAGCTGACCCCTTTTCAGCCTATTTTAGATTGCAGGCATGGGAAATGACCCCTTTACATAATTAAAAGTGCGCGAAAGAAATTCAATTGGCTGTCATAAGAAGAAAAACTGTCTCTTCTTTCTTTCTTTCTTTTTTAGATCTCTGTTGCCCTTCCTATCTTTCTCTAATGCTGCTGCTTCTCACGGCAACAGCAGTTGTTCTCAGGGGTGGGTTCTAAATTTTTTTACTACTGGTTCTGTGGGCGTGGCTTATTTTGTGGGTGTGGTTTGGAGGTCATGTGATTAGGTAGGGGTGGCTAGCTGGTCAGAGTCATTTCTGGAAGGTCCTCGCACTTACGACCAGTCCTCGCACTTACGACCCGACTCATTTGTTTGCTTTTAACACTGATCAGCTGTAGGACGGCCCTTTGAAGCCCTGCGGCAAGAGTTTAAACAGTTTTTTTTCCCTCTAGTCATCAGCTGGGACTCAGGAGGCAGCAATAGATTGTGGGTGGGACCAAATAAAAGGTAAGAATAATGTGGGGGGGTGGGGGGGGTGGGAGGGCAGGGGGGAAAACCGGTTCGGTGACATCATATCGTCACCGCTACCGGCTCGACCGAACCAGACCAAACCGGGAGGAACCCACCACTGGTTGTTCTCCATCAAAAGTTCTTCTGCCCCACAAGATCACTGATTTCATACTGGGCTAGAATGCCACTCCCCATTTAATTTAATGAAGGAGAACTTATTTTAGCATTCCTTTCAAAGCAGGAGAGAGACTCTCAACTAAATTCTCCTGGTACATCATGTTCTTGTATTCATGCAGTGATAAGTTGGCCAAGGGTGTGTGTGTGTGTGTGTGTGTGTGTGTGTGTGTGTGTGTGTGTGTGTGAATATCCTGTTATTCATTGTACCAACATGCCTCTAAGGACAACAAGCTTGTTTATTTGTTGAAGCTGAATTTAGGAGGTGCAGGGCTTGGTACTACGGCTTTGTCCTATAATTGAAAGGAATGTCTCGAAAACAAGAAAAATACACAGAATCTACTACTGTACTGCCCCACTTTACACACAAAGCCACACAGCCACACAGATATACACACACATAGCAAGAGTCTATAGGTGTTTATTCAAACTCCCCAAAGAGGTCCTCAGAAAGCACCCCCGTTGCATATGTCCAGATTCCGAGCTCGGCACAACAACAGTCACTGTGCCGTCAGCCAAACAATGCCGACTGGCGGCCCCCAGGCGGAGACCCTTCTCTGTGGGGGCACCTACTATCTGGAACGAGCTCCCCCCAGAGATACGGAGGATCCCGGATCTGCGCACCTTCCGCCGCGCCTTAAAGACCTTACTATTTCACCAGGCCGGCCTGGCCTAATTTTCCCCCTCTTTTATAAAAGATTTTTAAATTTTTAAATATCTTTTAGTATTTTATATATTCAATTTTAAATTGGTTTTAAAAGTTTGGGGTTTTAAATTTGTCGGGGCTAAAATTATTTAATTTGATTTTATTCTATTTTTAAATTTTGTATGTATGTGTTTTTATTGTTTGGCTGTGCACCGCCTTGAGTCCTTCGGGAGTAGGGCGGTATAGAAATCTAATAAAATAAAAATAAAAATAATAAAATTTTATTTTCTTGGGTTCCAAGATCACTGTGGATAGTGACTGCAGCCATGAAATTAAATGACACTTGCTTCTTGGGATGAAAGCTATCTGAAGTTCTCCGAAGACGTCTCCATGGTCATGTGGCCAGCATGGCTAAACGCCAAAGGCGCACGGAATGCTGTTACCTTCCCACAAAAGGTGATCCCTATTTTTCTACTTGCATTTTTTACATGCTTTTGAACTGCTAGGTCTCAAAAAAAAAAAAAAAAAAAAAAAAACAACACTCAGGATGGTATATAGCAAACTAAATTCAGGCAACAAACAGATAGGAATAATTACTAATAAAAATATAAGACAGTAAATAGAAAACAAGAAGAGAGACTGAATATTAACAGCAGCCATAGACCCATCTTAAAATTTCACTGGTCCCTGCTCTGCACGCCCTTGCAAAAGATTCTCCAAGCACATTTTACCCCAGAAGGGCTCATTTCTCCTAAAACGGCTGCAGGGTAGATACTTGCTGATGCTATAAGAGCAAAGAAGTACTGATGGTTCACTACTCTGATTCACCAAAAAGTTGGTTTTAGCACCTCTAACCCATGCTCAGTCAAGTTAGTTATTTGTTGGGCATTGGCAACTCTCCAGATGTCTCTTCTCTTTCTTCATTTCCTTCAATTTTCTTGAATCATGGCAAATGTTGGGATCCCTGAGAGGGAAAAGCTTGCATGGGCCTGATTTGATCCAGCCTGATGGGATTCCTGGGCCTGATGGGATCCTTGGGAGGGAAAAACTTGCATGGGCCTGATTTGATCCGGCATCTCAGCCACCAATGATTTCAAGTAGTGACCAAAGCTTCAGATGGACTATATCCTCAAAGAGCAAAGAGGCTGCTTAAAATTTTTACCAAATAAAATAGAACCAAACATTTCAACAGTTAGTTGGTGCTTCTGAATCAATACAAATGTTTTCTCCTAAGAAATTCCATTCCAGTTTTTAGAAAATGTCTTTTATTTTTAATCTTGGAATGTACACACTTCAGGCTGCCTGCATTCTTCTCTTTAGGTGAAACTTTTTCTTTTTCAAAAAAACTTTCTTGAAGTTTTAGCACTATGTTGAAACAATAGGATGACCTCCTGTATCTATCTTTCTCTCGCTCCCTTTTCTCTGCTCATCTTCATTTTTTAGCCCAAGGCAATATCTGAATTTAATCCTTTTGCAAGCTAACAAAATAGATTATACTTCTACATACACAAAGGCAGGCATCACACCTAGAAAACAATTCCTTGCAGCGGCTAATGTTAGCTCGAGCCACTGAGGCTCAGTTGTATGGTGAGGTGGTTGTTTCACGGAAAAAGTTTGCAAACTATGGTAAAACTCAACAGCAGCAACAGCAAAAGTAAAAAGAGAGAGAGAGAGAGAGAGAGAGAGAGAGAGAGAGAGAGAGAGAGAGAGAGAGAGAGAGAGAGAGAGAGAGAGAGAGAGAGAGAGAGAGCAGTAATTTAATTGAAGGAGAATAAATTGAAAATTGCACTGATTAATGGAACCACATTCAAGATTCTCACCTGCCCCAGGAAGATGAAGCTCCAGAAATGGAACTGGATTAATTAATGCTGAGTAGAAACAAAATTTCTTTTTTTAACCAATTCTCATTCAATTTAATACAAGTAATTTTGTACCTAAGATTTCTTCAAGATAGAACAGAGTTTTGGTGCAATTTCTTATTTATGGAATAGAGTGTTCTTGTATTGGTTCAGTTACTTTAGAGTTGAAATATATGTTTGAATGGGATGCAGTGGCTCAGTGGCTAAGACACTGAGCTTGTCGATTGAAAGGTCAGCAGTTCAGCGGTTCGAATCCCTAGTGCCGCGTAATGGGGTGAACTCCCGTTACTTGTCCCAGCTTCTGTTAACCTAGCAGTTCGAAAGCAGGTGAAAAATGCAAGTAGAAAAATAGGGACCACCTTTGGTGGGAAGGTAACAGCGTTCCGTGCGCCTTTGACGTTGAGTCATGCCGGCCACATGACCACGGAGACATTTTAGGACAGCGTTGGCTCTTCGGCTTTGAAACGGAGATGAGCACCGCCTCCTAGAGTCGGGAACGACTAGCACATATGTGCGAGGGGGAACTGTTACCTTTATTTTA